GGCTACTGGTTACTGGCGCTGGCTGCTGTCTACTGGCTATGTACAGTCAGCTGGCTACTGGCTGCTGGCTGCTACTGCCGCTGGCTGCTGGCTACTGGCTATATAAACCCAAACAGACAGAATGGGCATGAGAGCGATTGAACTCATTGTCCTTCAAACATGGTCAAAAATGCGTCCTTTGCAAAACGACTCAAATTACCCTAAATGACCAGAAATCAGGATTTGCGCGCGTTTGACAGTTGTTGCGCGCGTTTGCGGGATTTTTGCGGGCGTTTTGCGGGTAATTTGGGTCACAGGATTTTGCTAAACACATGCTCTCAATCCCGCATTGTCAAAATGTGTCAAAACTGATGGTCCATGCATGCACTATGCACACAAACATATCAAATCCTCCTGCTCCTCCTGCTCCTCCTGCTGCTCCTGCTCCTCCTCCGCCAGCATCTCCTCCACCACCTCTGCCTCCACTTCCACGTCCACTGTTGCCTTGCCAACTCTTCGCCAAGCTCTTCGCCAACGTCCGAGCTCAGTGTGCACCGCTGGACCTCAACCTGGGACCTTCCCAGCTCAGTGGGCACCGCTGGACCTCAACCTGGGACCTTCCCAGCTCAGTGGGCACCGCTGGACCTCAACCTGGGACCTTCCCAGCTCAGTGGGCACCGCTGGACCTCAACCTGGGACCTGCCCAGCTCAGTGTGCACCGCTGGACCTCAACCTGGGACCTTCCCACCTCAGTGTGCACTGCTGGACCTCAAAAGCATGGAAATTAATTTTAAATTGGTTTTTGGCTCCAAAAGCATGGAAAAATTGATTTTAAATCAATTTTAAATATTTTTTTTGGCCCCAAAAGCATGGAAAAAATGATTTTAAATCAATTTTAAATTGATTTTTGGCTCCAAAAGCATGGAAAAATTGATTTTAAATCAATTTTAAATTGATTTTTGGCTCCAAAAGCATGGAAAAAATGATTTTAAATCAATTTTAAATAAATTTTAAATTGATTTTTGGCGCCAAAAGCAAAGAAAAAATTATTTTGAATCAATTTTAAATCAAATTTAAATTGATTCTAGGCGCCAAAAGCATGGAAAAATTGATTTTAAATCAATTTTAAATTGATTTTTGGCGCCAAAAGCATGGAAAAATTGATTTTAAATCAATTTTAAATTGATTTTTGGCGCCAAAAGCATGGAAAAATTGATTTTAAATCAATTTTAAATTATTTTTTGGCTCCAAAAGCATGGAAAAATTGATTTTAAATTAATTTTAAATTGATTTTTGGCGCCAAAAGCAAGGAAAAAATGATTTGGAATCAATTTTAAATCAAATTTAAATTGATTCTAGGCGCCAAAAGCATGGAAAAATTGATTTTAAATCAATTTTAAATTGATTTTTGGCGCCAAAAGCATGGAAAAATTGATTTTAAATCAATTTTAAATTGATTTTTGGCGCCAAAAGCATGGAAAAATTGATTTTAAATCAATTTTAAATTAATTTTTGGCTCCAAAAGCATGGAAAAATTGATTTTAAATTAATTTTAAATTGATTTTTGGCGCCAAAAGCAAGGAAAAAATGATTTTGAATCAATTTTAAATCAAATTTAAATTGATTCTAGGCGCCAAAAGCATGGAAAAATTGATTTTAAACCAATTTTAAATTGATTTTTGGCGCCAAAAGCATGGAAAAATTGATTTTAAATCAATTTTAAATTGATTTTTGGCGCCAAAAGCATGGAAAAATTGATTTTAAATCAATTTTAAATTGATTTTTGGCTCCAAAAGCATGGAAAAATTGATTTTAAATCAATTTTAAATTGTTTTTTGGCTCCAAAAGCATGGAAAAATTGATTTTAGATTAGTTTTTGGCTTGTTTTTAAACCAATTTTACTGTGTTTTCTTCGGGGTTGGCTGAGTGTGCTCTTAAAAAAACGATGTTTTTCCATGAAAACATATTGTTTTCTTCAGTTTTTCTAGCAAAAATCAATTTTACACAAGTTTTTCCTGTATATAAAATAATTGATTTTCACTTGGTTTTTGAACCAACATCAATTTAAAATCAATTTTTTGAGAAAGCGCTTTGAGGTTCCAAAAGGATTGGTTTAAAATTGATTTTGAATTGATTTCAGAAATGAGCCTCTCAAGCAAAATTGATTCAATATTGTTTTCAACACTGGTGTCCACAGATATTGATTTAAAAATTGGTCGGCTCTCAGCCTTAGTACTTATCCTTGGCCTTATTCAGATCAGTTTATATACTTATAAATGAATAAATATATATATATATACATATTTATTTATTTACAGAATACTGATGGTCATTCAGTTCACATTTCATTACGTCAGTGGCCAATCACATCCCACACCAAAGTCACACCATATGCAGAAAAAACGGGAAGGTCATAGGAAGAAATATCAAGGAGAGGCAGCCCCACTCAAGGACACATTGAATCACAGTTACCCGACGGTGGTGGGCGCAACATCCCATAAACAGATAACAACCATCAACTGCACAGGCCAATGTGCAACAAGCAGAACATAAATTCTAATGAAACTACCCCAAATTATCCCAGAGCCAGATTCAATTTTGGAATCAATTCCAGATCAATTGTACAAGTACAACTTTGAAAGTTCTTCCAAATCCAGCCACAGCAATGGTGGAAATCAATTTTGAGAATCAACTCAAAATCAAAATTCAGAAAGAATAAAAATATTTCAAGGGCCCCCAAGCTTTACCACAAATCCGAAGTCTTAACAGTACGTCTTACATCCTCTTAGAACATGATTTTCAGGCATTTGAGTCGTTTTTTGGGCTCAATCCAAAAAACAATAATTTTGATCATAAACCTTAAATCACTGGATTTTTTGCATCTTAGGAGTTCCGAGGTACCTTTTGCGTGCTTTTTCCCATGTTCTTGAAACGCTTATAAACGGGAAAAGTGCCAAACGTCACGTCTGAAACCCTATAGAAAATTTTCAATATATTGAAAATATAGAAAATCAGCATGTTTTTGGGTAGGCTGCTGGCTGCTGGCTGCTACTGGCGCTGGCTGTTCACCTTTGTCTACCTTTCGTGTGCTTTTTCCCATGTTCTTGAAACGCTTATAAACGGGAAAAGTGCCAAACGTCACGTCTGAAACCCTAGAAAATCAGCATCTTTTTGGGTAGGCTGCTGGCTACTGGCTGCTGGCTGCTACTCGCGCTGGCTGCTGGCTACTGGCAGTCAGCTGGCTGCTGGCTGCTACTGGCGCTGGCTGTTCACCTTTGTCTACCTTTTGCGTGCTTTTTCCCATGTTCTTGAAACGCTTATAGACGGGAAAAGTGCCAAACGTCACGTCTGAAACCCTATAGAAATATGTTTGAAAATATAGAAAATCAGCATTTTTTTGGGTAGGCTGCTGGCTACTGGTTGCTGGCTGCTACTCGCGCTGGCTGCTGGCTACTGGCTATGTACAGTCAGCTGGCTACTGGCTGCTGGCTGCTACTGCCGCTGGCTGCTGGCTACTGGCTATATGCCGGTCTAGTTGCTTACAATATCACCTTTGTCTACCTTTTGCGTGCTTTTTCCCATATTCTTGAAACGCTTATAAATTACTTATAAACGGGAAAAGTGCCAAACGTCACGTCTGAAACCCTATAGAAAATCAGTAGAAAATCATCATAGATTTGGGTAGGCTGCTGGCTACTGGCTGCTGGCTGCTACTGGCGCTAGCTGCTCACCTTTGTCTACCGTTTGCATGCTTTTTCCCATGTTCTTGAAACGCTTATAAACGAGAAAAGTGCCAAACGTCACGTCTGAAACCCTATAGAAAATATTCAAAATATAGAAAATCAGCATTTTTTTGGGTAGGCTGCTGGCTACTGGCTGTGGCTGCTACTATCGGGTCTGTCCCTCTTGCGACGCGAAAAAAACTTGTTCTTTGTGCCAGACAAAGCAAAAACCCGTGGACATTGGACATGCGCAGTATGTAAGGAACGCAAGTCAAAGCAGCAGTTCTCAGTCTGTCTCCAGAAGCAACCTTCCTGTCAACATGGCACACAGGTCTGCAACGCATGTCATGTGGCCACAGTCCAAGCTGCCATCCGCAAGCGTGCCGCAGCGTTGAATGCAGAACCCCAAAAAGGGCCTAACGTCACTTCTCAAACCGTACTATAAAATTGAAACTTGCCTGCTGCCTGCTGCTGCCTGCTGCCTGCTGCTGCCTGCTGCCTGCTGCTGCCTGCTCCTGCCTGCTGCTGGCTGCTGCTGGCCTAATGTCACTTCTGAAACCCTACTATAAAATTGAAACTTTGCCGCTCCTGCTGCTGCCTGCTGCTGCCTGCTCCTGCCTGCTGCTGGCTGCTGGTGCTGGCTGCTGCCTGCTGCTGCCTACTCCTGCTGCCGCAGAGGCTTTTGCTGCTGCTGCTGGCTGCTGCCTGCTGCTGCCTACTCCTGCTGCTGCAGAAGCTTTTGCTGCTGCTGCTGCTGCTGGTCCCCGGATGGGAAAACACCATGGCAGTGAAGGACGGAGAAACCCCAAAATTGCACCCCGTAAATGCCTAGCGAAAACGCATAGAAAATGATGATTTTGGTTGCTTTTTCGTCTTGCTGCTGCTATGAATTTTGGCTACCTTTTCCTCCTGCTGCTGCAGAGGCTTTTGCTGCTGCTGCTGATCCCCGACCCGTTGTTGTATTTCTTGTTGTCCACAACCTCTCTTCCCTGACGCGCTCCCCCTTGCGGTCGGCCGGGGTCGGCGGATATACATATACATGTTTTTTTCCAGCCGGCTTCATTGCACATGATTCCGGCGTAATTCCCGGGATTTTTCCGGCGTAGTTTCCAGGATTCCTGAGATTTCCGGGCATAAATTTGGCAGAAAATTTGGCATCCGGCAAAAAAGAAATCCCGAAAGAGTTTCTAGGTAGAATAAGCCACGGGTGGATCAAAGACTGGCTGAGGGCACCAAATTTTGCTTCAAGTCATCACCTTTTTTTCAACCTGTTGGTCTAAGCATTGCTGAAGCACCGCGATGGTTGAGACTCATTCGATGCATTCGATGCATCCATTTGGCTCAGCCGTGGCAGCCGACTGGCAGCCGCCCGACTGGGCTGGGATGTTTCGGTGTGCGTGCATCAATGCTGTGATTCTCAGTGTCTTGGCCAGTTCATCCCCATTTTTTACAGGATGAAGGCGTGGTGAAACCAACAATTTCTTAGAAGCTCAAGATTTTCATAATTTTACATTGATCACCACAGTTTGTGTGCTGGGATAACTTTTTGTTTGGTTGGTTTTCACAGGTGAATCTTCACTATATAGATAGAAAACACATAGAACAAGATCACGATGTTGCTGTTCTTTTGAACGTCTAACTATGTGTGTCCCAGTTGTGTGCTCTTAAAACAGCCCCTCTGGAGGTTTGCGACTTCCAGTGAGCTTTGCATATCGTATACTCAGCGAGGCCAATCACCCTTGACGATGGTTTTGTCGATGGTTTCTTTGATGAAATCCGAAGCATTTCGTAAAGCCAAGGACTCGACCAATCCATTTTTCATTTCAGTGGGACAAAATATCATCCAATGATTCAGGTTCAGGGTTTAGGCAGCCTGAGATCTGAAGTACATGTTCTCGTATCTTCTAGATGGCAAATGGTTTTGACATGTTGTGACCCTCTTTAAGTATAAGTGCTTCTAGGCTTGGGGTACAATCCTTTTGGGGATGTTCGCTTCGGGCTTCCGATAGGCGCAACGTTGCTTCATTGGTTCCTTGGGTTGAACCACCACGAAACAAAAAGCTCAGCTACAGATGGATGATTACTTGGCAACCATTCATGGTAAAGATCATGAGTCACAAAAATAGTCATATCAGTCATATCCTGCAAAAAGCTTTTCATGTTCTATCCATTGGATTGGCAAAAACGGGAATATGTTCCTGAAACCCCCATAATGGTGAAAACCATGGTTTCCTGTATTAAGATGTTCCCTCAGTGATTCTATCCATTGGGAGGTTTGTTAAAGAACATCTCCATCATCTGCAAGCCCAGCACGCAGGACTTGGATTCGACTCGCAGGGAGGACGTGGAACCTCCGACTGAAGCCCAGCAACAGAAGGAGTTGGGTGCAGATGGCCCACCGTGGGGCCCACCGTGGGGCCCACCGTGGGGGATCTGCGGATCCCTTAACGATCCACCAAAAACACGGATGACGGTTGGAGCTTGGAGAAGAATATGCCCAAACAGCAAAAATTGGATGGGTTGGAACCGTCAAACATATACTATACACATATATAATAGTATTGTATGTGTATGTATATATATATATATACATATTGAATTCGAGGGTCTGAAACTAACATAGTTATTTTCACTAAGTCGATTTATACCCATACATAGATGGTGTTTTTCCATAGTTATGTTAGTTTACCAGAGGGTATTTGATTTTGACTCTGACTCCATTTCTCCAGGAGTTCTTTCAATGCACTCGTCAGTGTCGCTGGAAGTTTGGCAACACCTTTGATTTGACCATTGTGGGTGGTCGCAGCGGTTGGAGCAACTGCCAATGCTTTCGCCACTTGGTCAGAGAACGGCCGCCTGTGGAGTCCTCCAGTCATTGGGTTGGTGAAACCTGAGCATTTCTAAGGTGATTGGGTTGGTGATATACAGTGATCCTCTCTCGCAGCCAGGATTGCCAAGCGTGACCATGGAGGAAGAATTTGGATGAAATTGTGACTTTTTTTTGGAGTGTAATGCTTGGCTAGGCAACTTGCAGCACGGAAGCTCCAGATGTCCTTGGATTGGTGAAATGATATTATGTTTGTTGAAATATCGGAGCATGAAGCCAACAGAAAAAAAAATCGGAATCAATCATGTAATGTCAACCCGGATTCGTAAACCTCATCGGCTGTTGATCATTGGGCCTTCCCCGGTTACCTCCCTTCCTGCGCACAGCGCCGTACACTGAGGTCTCAAGGCCACAGGCACGTCACGGCGTCACGGCGTTTCGTGGATGCTCATGGTCAACCCAATGCTAGTAACCAAACTGAACCAGATACTTGTGTGATATATTATGTATGTACAATGCTATGTAATAAGATATATGAACCCAATTCCATTGGCTCAGTATATAAAAGGTATCTATCATAGATATAATTCTAGCATATTAATGGTACCATATATTTGGAGTTCTTCTGATTTTTGCCACCGCAGCGTGAGGCGCAGACGAGACCTTGCCGCAAGTGATTCCCAGATACTCTGCCAGGGCCTTGGAGTTGGCTTATATCCCCCATATCCCCCATTATATCCATGGTTATCCCATATATTCCATTATATTTCCATGAGACTATGGGGATAAAACTGTGAAAAGAGATGTAAAACTAGCTTGGACCCATGGACCGCGATGTTTATGTTTCTAAACTCGTGATGGGCCAAGGCCAAAGAGTTTGACACGGTAAATACCTGGAGCGGCAATGAGACGAGTGGATGGAACTGTGCTCCTGGGCAACTTTAAGGCTTCATAAGGGGTAAGGGGAATGATTGGTGAATGAGTTACGGTGTATTTCTGAAGAGAACATGGAAGGAGGAATTAATACAGATCTTTAATGTCCCATTCATCCAATTCATATCCAGAAAGCTGTGTGGAAGTCGATGTGATTTTTTGTTATCCCAAGATATTCCGGGTACAAGGGCAACAGCAAAGGCCACATGACATTAGCGTCATTAGCAACAACAAATTGCGAATTCCGGCAATTTCACATAGCATACATAGCTGACTCCGGAGAATTGCTCCTTTATAATCATGTATAGATGATTCACTTATTAAACAGGATGATTTCCCATGGCCAGAGGTTACAGAAAAAGGGCTTCTATTGATTCTATTCTGCGGTGCCTTTCGAGCTCTAAGGATTTCGTTTGTGTTCAACAGCCAGACGGTTCGCTAACCACTCTGACAAAGGAAGAGGTGCAGAGCCAGATTCTTGGCAGTGTTTTTTCGCCATGGCGTGGATGGATTTGGATGAATTATATCATAAGGCCTACTACAATGTGAGCTACTGCAAAACATCGGGGAAGATGAAATATGGAAGGGGCGGATGGTGGTTTTTAGACGCTGTACAAACAGGAGGTAAGCGATGAGACCTTCCCAAATAGCAATACCATTTGAAGGGTACTGTACACACCGTATATCATAATGGACATCGATTCTTTCAATGTCATCATATCAACAATGCCTTCCAACATGAAGCACATGAATGTTGTGGCTATCATGTGCCCCAATGAATACTTTGCCGTGGGTTGAAGTTGAAGCCGCCAGACTGTTACCTTTCCAAGGGGATTGCATCTTGACGGACCATTAACAAGTCCAATTTGTGGATGATTACCAAAACTGAGGAGCATATTTATGGAATGGATTGAAACCACACACTACCGGTACTTGAGGAGCAATCCCCAGTTTCTCTTGATCAGATCCTAAATTTGCATGAACTTGTTCCAAATGTCCATGTCTTTTCATTTATTGATAGTGAAATTCCACGAAACTCCTATTCAGATCTGTTCAGTTTGGTGATGAAATATATTCAGTATAGTATAGTATAGTATGGTATAGTATAGTATAGTATAGTATAGTAAATCTATGTAAACTTAAAAAACATAGAAGAATAAATAAATCGTTGTTATTCGTTGTGTTATGATTCGCGGTTTTAGTTGGAGAAAAAAACTTCTTCACAAGCTGGAGACTCTCGGAGACCATGTTTTTTTCTTTCTCAGTCACGGAAAAAAGCCGATACTTTCTGCTTGTTGGTTTCAAACATGACTTTTATTTTCCATTTCATATATGGGATGTCATCCTTCCCATTGACTTTCATATTTTTCAGAGGGGTTCAAACCACCAACCAGCTTTCCATCTAAAGGGCTTGAGGAAAATTCTTCACCTACAACATTCGTTGACAGGAGGTACACACATTCAAGTGTTTATGAACTCGCTTCGCAAGTGGCGTTTCCCAACGGTCTAAACAAATGTGTTAAACCTTTTTCCGAAATACTGGATGAGAAGCGAGTTCAATCAAGGTCATACCTTGAGAAGCGCAGATACCGATCCTTTAAAGCAAGTGGCGTACGAACCGGGGACAGCTTGGTCAACGGCGAGTAGGAAGACCAAGAGAAAATTGGAGGTACAATACTGAACTTATTCACTCTCAATCCAAGGCCTCTGATTATATCGCTTAGGTTCATTTAAGACAGGCGCCCAAGCGTCTCACACTTTTTTTTGGGACTCTTGCACGAGACGCACGGTAGTTGATTTATTTATGTGTTATGGTTATGATTTTATTGCGTTTTTTTATTCACTGCTATTTTTTGATTTTATCGTGTCGTATTTTAGTGAGAACAGCATATTGCATCAACAACAACTTATCCCATCTATTCTCCCGTAATCATCCTTTATAACATCCCATCTTAAAAATCCCATAAAACCCCAAATCTGGTTTGTTTTCTAGAGACCACATAAGCAATCCCTAACAACCTATAGTTATCCCATAAAATCATATAAAATCTCAAATTCTATGTGTCTTCTTTGTTGGTCTGCTAGAGAACACATGGGGAAGTCCCCATTTTTTTCAGGATGCTCAGCGCAGACTTCCGGAAGCTTCACTGCGGTCGCTGTGCAGCCTGCAGTGCGCCGGAGGATATCGAGGCCCCGTTGTTTTCGCAGCGGGAAGAAGGGGAAGTCAAAAGCAACAGGAGTGGAGATATCAATGGGATGTCCAATGATGTGTTGATGGAATTTTAGAGGACTATACATGTAGTATATATATATACTATGAATGGGATTTGTTTATGGAACATTCATGGAATATCATTGAAAATAATGGACATTAATGCGATTCTAATGATATGTTAATGGATTTCCATGGGATAGTGGAGTGTAATGAGATATGTTAATGGGATATGTTAATCGGATATGTTGATGGGATATACACTTATAAGCAGTTAGACATTTTAACGTTCTATATCTCTACGAAGCATCGAATTAAAATTAAGTAATCCCATCCACCTAAAATCAAAATAAATTTTATCATCACCTCCAAAAAACATGGTTATAAGACGTTATAAGGATTTAAATTTCCAACAGACTCTGGAAGAAACTGCTGGAAGTCACACCGGAGGTTTCCTAAAATTGGGTACCCCTCAATCTTCCAGGTCAGACCGTTTTTGTTTTGAAACCCATGGTGACTTGCGGATCCCTCATGACTTTGTAAACCCCCAGGTATCAGATTCTCTGTCAGAATTCCGACATGAAGGCATATTGAGGCTATGCTATGCGCCCCGGTGATGGATTTCTCAGTCATCTCACGTCTTGTGCCACTCATCCACTGCGATCTCAATTATCCACCCCGATGTCCAAAGAGATGGATCAACATGGTAGATATCTAATGAATATTTGGATTTGGAGCATCTTGTTTGGGCAATTTTGGACCATAGCTAATAGTCATGATGATTAGATATGTAAATATATGTAACATCATCTAATATGATATGCATCTAATGATGAATATCAACTGCTAATGATGATTAGATATGTAAACATCCATATTTAAACATGTTCGACATGTCACCATGTCCCCCCAACTGCCAGGTGCTGGCGAAGACCCGCAAGTGGATCACAGAGGCCCCCCCAGTGATGTTTGTTGGTTTCTGAACCATAAGAATAGTATAGGTATATCTACCATAAACCATAGTGATTGGAGTTAGCTATGCACCAACTTAGCTAACTAATGCTAACTATGGGCACCACCCTGTAGCTATGGAAAATCACCATTCTAAACAGGTAAATCAACTATTTCTATATATTTCTATTTGCCATGTTGAATAGCAATGCTAGATTATGCTAGATTACCAGAGGGTAAGTTCTGTCTTTTATCTGCTCAAGAAACATGAAAACAACACACATCTCGGACTGTTGGTTATATTTGTATAAATAGTTGTAAACAGCTACATATATCTAATCATATTCATGTGTCACACATTCATTCACATTCATTGCATTAGTATATCCAATTTTATACTCATTCCTATGTCTGCTTGGCAGTTTGGGTTGTTGAGCCCCATTGACAGTGCATTTTTGGGGAGTTATCACGAGCAAAGCAGGTGGATGAATGGGATGTACTTATGTTAAACATACTATTAAAATGGTGTATAATTAAACATGTATGAGTTAACATGTACGTATGTTCTACACCAAATGTAAATTGATTCATGTGGTAAAACGCTATTAAGCAGATATGTTCATCGCCAAAATCCGTCGGTTTATCAATAAGCATCATCATTTTCATTCAAATGACCATAAATTGGAATGTATACCCAAATTGTTGTGTAAGTGTGGTGATCCTAAGCTATGTTTCAAGATCGATCACTGGTTGATACCGATTTACTCTTGAATTTTGTTCATGAATACTCCAATTGTTCATCATTTTTCTATCTTTGATGCTTAAATCATGCTAAATTTCATAGTTTTTGTTGGCTAAACTCACCATAGGAATCAGAAAACCACCATGTTTGATGGTGACATCCCCATATTTTTTAAAGGTGTCCTAGCCGGCGAAGATCCCCAGGTGATGACCACGGTGGCCGCCCGTTTTGCAGCTCCCTGGGGACACCGCGATCCAAAGAGGTTGCGGACAGACCTCGTGGAGGCGAGTTTTGGGCCTGGATGAGCATTGCCGTGGAAGTGGCCTCCAGTCCATTAGTATAACCCCGTATATATATATATATATATATTATATATATATATATTATATAATTATATATATATTATATAATTATATATATATATTATATTGTATATATATATATACATTATATTATATATATATATACTCTGCAAGGTTTCCAGCTCCTGGGGGCTGCTGGAGCACCCGGCACCCACGTGAAAAATTGGTTGAATATGATATGATATGATATCAAGGGTGGATAACTGGTATATCCATACAACAATGGTATAACAATACATGAATCAACCGTATATTCATCGAAGGAAGTTTAGAAGTCAAACTTCCGACAATATGGACAGATGAAAAGCAGAGTAGGGCAGAGGCAGAGAGAAGAGAAAGATTAGAAGAGAGAAGAGTAGAAGAGAAAGAGTAAGAGGACAGAAGATACAGATGCGCGAAAAGGTCGGAAAGTCGCGAAACACTGTGTTTTTCCAATGATTTGTGGCTCTGGAGGGTCGAAAAGTAGGCTCGCTAAAGCGGCGGGTGCGGAGCCAGCTGGCGAGAGGAGAGATGAAAAATTGCACGCCGTTGTGGCTCAAAGCACATTTCCAAGTCAAAAGGTACAAAACACCTCAGGTCCGGACCACTTTTGGAAGTTGAGATGTTGAAAAAGTGTACGCCGTTGTGGCGCGAAGCACATTTGCAAGTCAAAATGCACAAAACACTTCAGCTCTGGACCGCTTTTGGAAGTTGAGATGTCGAAAAAGTGTACGCTGTTGTGGCGCGAAGTACATTTCCAAGTCAAAATGTACAAAACACACCATGCTCGGACCACTTTTGGAAGCGGGTCGACACGCAGGTGCGAAAAGGGGGATCCGATAGCACCCTTGGGTTGTGCGGTTGCCTAGTTTTGTTGTTTTTGGGGAGCCTTCTCCTTTCGGTGATGATACTTGGTTTGGGTTGAATTCACAGTAGTTTCCTGGGGAACGGGGGGTAGAGCGGTGGAGTGGCTTCATGATGTCACAGTAGGGCATGTGGTGCAGGAGTGCAAGTGGGATGTGCGGTTCACTTTGTAACATACTTTTGAGATTGAGTCTCTGGGTTGTCATGAGTTTCATGATGTTGTGATAGAGTTAGGATCTCTTTGCTATCATGGAGGTTCATGATGTCACTGACCATGTGGATTCATGGCAGTTGTGCTAGCTGGCCACTAGCGGTTGTTTAGCGTAACGGATGGGCTGCGCGATTGGCGCAACGGATTAGTTGCGCGATACTTGGTGTTCAGTTTTCTTGAGCACCCGCCCGCCCACCCTGGAGTTTTAGGGACAGTGGCGTGGCTGATAACGTTTGACCGTGGTTGACGGTTGTGTTGAACTGCATGGTTTGATTGTGCAGTGATTTGTACTGCATGATTTACATTTGCAGAAATTCTTCCACCACACCTCCGAATGAAAACAGAGCGCCAGCTCCAGTTTGTTCACCAGGGTTTGCTGAGTTAGGACAACATTCCAGTGATGATGGATCCCTTGGTTCGGAGAATCTGAATGAAACGTTTTTCCTTATGGACTTATTGGTTGTAACTTGGACTGGGAATACCTGTGTCAGGGTTGCTAGGATCACTGTGCGGTAGGATCCCGTTGCGATGTCGAAAAAGTGCACGCCGTTGTGGCGCTAAGCACATGTCGAAGTCAAAATGTACAAAGCACCTCAGTTCCGCACCACTTTTGGAAGTTGAGATGTTGAAAAAGTGCACGTCGTTGTGGCGCGAAGCACATGTCCAAGTCAAAATGTACAAAACACACCATGCTCGGACCATTTTTGGAGGTTCAGATGTTGAAAAAGTGTACGCTGTTGTGGCGCGAAGCTCACTTCGAAGTCACACTACATTACAGTACATTACACTCCAGTAGAGTCCACTACACTAAATTACACTACACCACACTACATTACACTGAATGACACTGCAACACAGATAGACAGGTAGACAGCTAGACAGATAGACAGATGAAAGAGAGAGAGAGAGAGATAGACAGGTAGATAGATAGATAGATAGATAGGAAATTAGATGAAAGAGAGAGAAAGAGAGAGGCCAGCTGGGTAGATGAGATAGATAGATAGATGGCTAGACAGATAGACAGACAGAAAGACAGACAGATCGATAGACAGACAGACAGACAGACAGATAGATAGATAGATAGATACATCGATAGATGCATAGATCGATACATGGAGAGATAGCTAGATACATACATAGATAGATAGATAGATAGATAGATAGAGAGAGAGAGATAGATAGATAGATAGATACATCGATAGATAGATAGATAGATAGATAGATAGATCGATCGATAGATAGATAGATAGGTAGATAGATAGATAGATAGAGAGAGAGAGATAGATAGATAGATAGATAGATAGATAGATAGATCGATAGATAGATAGATCGATAGATCGATAGATAGATAGATCGATAGATAGATGGATAGATAGATAGATAAATAGATAGACAGATAGATAGGTAGATAGAAAGATAGATAGATAGAAAGATAGATAGATAGATAGGTAGATAGATACATAGATACATAGTTAGATAGTCAGAGAAAGAGAGAGAAAGAGAGAGAAAGAGAGAGAAAGAGAGAGAAAGAGAGAGAAAGAGAGGAGACCTCATGCACCTTTCGGTCCATCAGTGGCTTCGCTCTGCCATCCCTGATTCACAACCACCAACCTCTCCTATAGGTTTCCTATTTTTGAAACTTCCGCCACCGCCTTGTGCGGTACTACTGGTAACGTATCAATAATATACATTTTTTAAATGGAAAAGGATAGGGGCTGTATAATGACATTATCCGTAAATCAAATACAATCGTGAATTATATATCCATAATGCAATATAGTTGACAAAAAATGTACTCATGTATCAACGATGTATCAACACAATCATGGTATATCCGTGGTAGATCAATGGATAGCAGGGCCCGAGTTGACCATTTTCGAAACCCACTCGAAACGGCAAAACACCATCTAATTTCGTGCCGAAAGTGGCGCAAAGTCATTCGCAATAACAAGCTCCCCGGAGGCCGGAACGTCCCTTCTGAAATCCTATTAAAAAGCCCATTTGACTTCTGCTGTTCTGCTATGCTGCTGCTGCTGGTGGCTGCAAGCCAATTTGACTTCTGCGGGTTTGCCATGCTGCTGCTGGTGGCTGCTGGGCCTGCTGTTCCTGCTGCTGTGTTGCAGCTGCTGCTGCTGCTGGTGGTGGTGCCAATTTGACTTCTGCTGTTCTGCTATGCTACGTAACTTCTGAAACCTATAGAAAATGATGATTTTAGCTACTTTTTTCTCATGCCGCTGCTTCCCAAAACTCCTATTTCTTGTTGTCCACAACCTCTCTTCCCTGACGCGCTCCCCCTTGCCGTCGGCCGGGGTCGGCGGATGGGTATATATACATATATATATAATCACATATATAATCATATATACCGTATATATATACACACACCCCATATATACATATATATATACCATGTGTGTATGTATATATATATATATATTTATGTATAAGTGGGTTCTTTTCCCCATTGGCTAAGTAAGTGGGATACATCCCCAAGTTGGGCAACAAATGGTCTGTTTTCGCCATGAAAAGGAACACATTTTCACCTGGAAAACATGCGGAATTCACTGTGAAACGTGTGGATTCCACCGTGAACAGTGGGGATTTCACATGGTGATTTCAATATAAAAAAAGTGAAAAAGTGAGGATTTCAAGATGAAAAGTGTAGATTGCACTTAAGTGGTGCTCTTAAAGATTTGACCCAGTCATGATTATGTGACCCACAGAAATGGGGATATCACCCGCTGCGATGGTGTACTGTTCCCCCCGCGAAAGGTGAATGAGAATTTCATCTATCTAATCATGAATAAATAAATAAATATATATATATATATATTTGCCAGCTCTTAACATAGTCAAATAGTCAAATTATATTTTACCAATTTTCTTTGGTGGTGCCACATTTGATTACACCGGATTGTATATCCATCAATATATCATCACAAAAAAAATATATATGTCTTTGAATAGTCCCCATGATATTTCCACCATATCCCTATTACTCACCATATATTATTCCTATTATTCCTTCAATATTCCCAGTATCCCCGTGATATCCCCCATTTGGGGTGGAGGGGGGGAGGGTGGCTGCCCTGCCGCGGCTGATCATTATCTATTACTATCTCAGTAAAAAAACAGATGTTGAAAGCCTGCAAGTGCATGTTATGGTGATGCCCTTTCTTCCCTTTTGGGACCTTAAGACTAAAAATATAGATTTCGTAGGAAGGGAACAATGGCCAGAATGACACTGACTTTCAGCTTCTGTTGGTTTTGAGGTGCACCATTTGGCAGTTCTCCTGAGTGGTCCCAGTTCCACATGAAATATAAAGTTATGTAATAACAAACAATGTAACCTTTTTGAAAAATTGCATTTTTGTTATTGCATTAGTAAAACAAATGATTCTGCCTTCAAAATTTGGTGTATTCAATGGTCAAAAAAATCTTAGTGAAAACATTCGGTAGCGCTCCCGACTGTTTTAAAGACCATAAATATTTTCAAAAATTGCTTTTGGCGAAAACAATCGGTAGCGCTCCCGACTGTTTTAAGACCATACATAATTTCAAAATTGCTTTTGGCGAAAACATTCGGTAGCGCTCCCGACTGTTTTAAGACCATACATATTTTCAAAAATTGCTTGTGGCGAAAACAATCGGTAGCGCTCCCGACTGTTTTAAGACCATACATAATTTCAAAATTGCTTTTGGCGAAAACATTCGGTAGCGCTCCCGACTGTTTTAAGACCATGCATCGTTTTAAAAATTGCTTTTGGCGAAAACATTCGGTAGCGTTCCCGACTGTTTTAAGATCATAATTACAAATTTTGCTTTTGGCGAAAACATTCGGTAGCGCTCCCGACTGTTTTCAAATAATGAAAAAAAAGAAAAATAACATTAAACTCTTAGCACGTGCTGTTAAGCAAATCGCCTTGGCCAGGGGGGGGGCAAGTGCCCCCCCCTCTGGCCAACATCGGTAGCGCTCCCGATGTTGGCTAGCCCCCCTCCTGCATAGTACGGACCGGGACTTTTGAGCTAATAAGCCCCCAATGTGAAAAATTGGAAGTGCTGTTAAGACATGTAGGGGGCGGCTAGCCAACATCGGTAGCGCTCCCGATGTTGGCCAGAGGGGGGGGCATTTGCCCCCCCCCTGGCCAAGGTGATTTGCTTAACAGCACGTTCAATGTCTATTTCTTCCTTTTTTATTTTTTTTTAAACTTTTGAAAATATGTCATTTCAAAATTATTCAAACAATTAAAAGTTGAAGTTGTGCGCCATCTTTTTTTTCCGCAAAAGACTGTCAAACAAATAAGTCGCCAGTGTTTCTGAGTGCATGAGATCAAAGGCAACTCCAAAACAATAGTGTATTATTAGTATTATTATTGCCGAATGTTTCCTGAGTTCTTTACTATCATTTACTCGGGCTACATCTTAAACTGTGTGGAAACAGTTCCAGGTTTTGGTTTGTTTTTTAGAAGGAATCCAACTCATGAGCTCCAAGAACATAGCAAATTCTGAGTCTGATAGTTCAAGACCTTTTCATCTTGTTATGATTATCATGTTTTCTTCAACCGTCAAAACTCTTGCAACAATGCTTGGTAGATTTGTTTCCACCAAAGTCAAACACCAACCTTTCTTGAAACATAAACTGAAAACCATCTTAATCATAAGGGAGAACTGTCAATGGTCACTGAGTGTACGAAGAATTTGCCAAGGTATATTGGTGAGATTTGGATGTGCCTGTCATTGGCGTCTTCCATAACACTAAGCAAATTGATGTCCCACTGTATTTGTTTGAAAAGGGGTCCCAGCCAATAACAATAACAACACATTTGGTTTTTGGATGTTGATATTGTTTTCAGTGTTCCCCATTGATGGTTGACATACTTTGGTTAGAGGTGGGTCCCATGCTGGGAAAGATGTACCATACCCATCATTTATGCTAACCCGCTCTGGCTCAGCAATTCTCCGGCCATTTTGGCCAGTCATTGTGTTTATGCCATCATTTATCTTATTAAATCTATTACATGATTAGGACAGCAAAAATCAAACTTGGGGGATGGGATGATCCCGTCATTGAACCACATTTTATCAAATTGGGTCAAAACAATGGGAATTAACAATGCATTTTGGAACCGAACTAGTTTGATTGTGTTATTATGAGAAAGGTTTCCTAACTGTGGACTAAGGAACTGGGTGTTTTGTACACTTGGTTTACATTCGACATGAAGAGCGACATATGATAATTGGAGAAATTACAAATGACTATTTGATCCTCTTAACAGCAGGTAAGTATATATATACACATATCAATATTATCATACCATCTACACATCTAATGGGCGTGGTCAATTTTTTCCTCCTCCCAACCCACACGTCATGTTTACTCTACTCTTCACCAACCATGCTTGGTACGTATCAGAATCGTTCTCATCATGCAAGGAATCCCAATAAATCCCAAACTGGGAACACAATCCAGTATCCAAATCCCATTTTGCATCCCATAGCTCAAGAACGGCTTACATAATTATAATTGTTTTGCTGGTTGAATCACTTCAGCCCGTATGTACATGTTTTGTCACTTCAAGCAGCAAAGTACAGTATTCCTTTGGTTCTTGTGAAAACTCTCCCAGTGAATGACGTTCATCAGCCCTGCACAAAATCGAAAGGCCAATATCAGTTTCAGCGAAAAGCGCTATGATGGGCGGACAGATCTACCAAGTTGTATGGACGTTTGGGATTCGTGGCTTCCAAGTTGGGTGGAAAATCTTCGGAAATCCCACGTTTTTTCCCAGCAAATCTTCGGTGCCCCTGTGCTCCCGAAAATCAGCAAATTCAACTACCAGAAGTTTGAGAACCGGGTCTTGGTACACTTTGGGTGACCCCAAAATTGATGACTGTGCGAACTGTGCTAAAAATGAATAAACATAACCAATCAATTTACAGTTCTCAGCGAGTTTTGAAATTTGCCCCGTACCCAATTCTTGCTTGTATAGTAGGGATGGGGTCAAAAACGTACTATCCTGACTATCCTTTACCCCTGTGTTTTACACCAAATAGCTGGTAGTTATGCACGTTCATCCCCCCAAACAAGGTATTTAGAGGTAGGGATGCATAGCCTAATATCATGCCAGCATGATTTCACCCGCTCCAAGGCTCCAAGCAGCCAGGGAGCTTTGGGTATGGCTCAAAATTGGGGTTTCCCAAAAGCCCGTGGTTCAAATTGGTGTATCATCATTTTGCCCATTAGGACTGCAATTTTGGACTATCCATGGATATCCTTTCTCCGCCTTCGACAAATCTATGCATGAAACCTGAGGCTGACAACATCATGTGTGATGCGATGTCGTGCAAATCCAAATGCTGGTTGAAATTCTTCAATGCCAAGAACGCCAAGACAGATGCTTGGAGAAACTTTAACATTGAGCTAAATTGATTCTGATGGAATTTGTTCTTCCATTCAATTCCTTGAGTTTATTTTCTGGACATGACTTGGTGAATCAGTTGGAATAGACATGATTCAAGCCTTTAATGGATGGACATTGATCCAGAAGGAACCAGAAGTGACATGAAAAGTGGAGGCAAGCAGTTCACCAGTCAGTCATCATGTAGCTCTTTCTGGTTCCCTTGCAACTGTTTTTTATTCAGTCAGGTAGATAGTCAGCAAGTCTCATGTATGAAAGAACATGAAAGAACATATAAATCCTTAGATGAAATGGAATCAACCTGAACCAACTATATCCAGCTGCCAAAAACTAGCATGAACATACATTAACTAACCAATACTAACTATCTATATATATATATAAAAATATAATATATATATATACATGTTGAACTGGGTGTGATTTTCTAGCCAAGCCACGTTAGGAAATCAGCGGTGACATCAAGTGGTATGACCTCAACGCACAATGTCCTTCGCCTCAACCGGACCAGGGCAGCACTGGCAGCAGAAATCTCACCTGCCCAGCTATGTTTTGTTTGTTGTTGCTAGTGACTGATGGTGCAATCATCCTGCGAGGCTTGCGTTGTGACGAGATCAATTGCGGCCCAGCCTTCATTAAGGCGGGCACGGCTGTATGCAGCTCAAAAACATCAAGCTGTCATCCCTGGAATCCCAACGGTTGGCATGGCATTTTTCTCACACACTGGAGAAATGGATTTCCTCTTGTAATCATTATTATCAATAGATGTTTCTAAATAAACAACATCTATAAGGTAGTTTCATGAAGTTTCGTGATAAACATCCACACTGAATCTAATCTACCCTCTGGTAATTTAACAAATTTAACATAGCCATTGAAAATCACCATTTTTAATGGGAAAATCCACTATTAATGGTCATTTTCAATAGCTACGTTAAATTACCAGAGGGTAACAATCGGCCTCTTGGCAATCCAACCACTCAACAACCCCCGCCGGCAGTCAGGGTGCCGGGGCCAACCGCCGGTCTGCGGGTATCGAGTCAGATATTCAACGACCTGAAAAGCAAAAGTGCCACATGGGGATGTGCCTTGGCAGCATCGATGGGATTTAAAGGGATGGGATTCGATAAGATTGACTGGGATTTAATGGACTTTAATGGATTTTAATGGACTTTAATGGAATTTGATGGAAAACCATGGGAATTTAACCATCAAACATGTGGATTTTTCATGGGATTTGATGGGGATAAAGAAAAAGCACAACGGCAACAGGGAACCCGTTGGAAAAAAACATGGAGGGAACGAGATTTAGGATGTTTATAGCGATGAACAGGTAGAATTTCAATCATGAATCATATATGTATATAGTTTTAAAAAAAAAATCGCGGAGGGAACTATGATTGAACAGGTAGATGTATCATGATCTATCTATAGTGATACTTAGATTGGTGAATGCAAACCCAGGTGAAATCACTAGGTGGCTCCACATGGTAGGAGCCAATGGACCCAATACCAGCAACGACCATGACGCGTCGAAAGCAAAGTGTCAAACTGGGGGACATAAAAGTTACATCCATATTCTACTCATGTGTGGTCCTTTCAATGATTCAATTACCCTTTTTCTGGGTGCGCTGTTCCATATTTGGAAATTTCGCTGGGGGTGGCCACTGCCCGACAGGTATTCCGGATGCTCGGCTGGATGTACAGTAACGACATATGTGGAGGGCGGGCCAGACCACAAGGCCCTGGAGGTAATACGAAACACCAGGTCCATTTTAAACTGTTTCAATAAATTGGATTCCGTATGTTTAAATGGCCGGGCATGCCAAGGAAAACCTTCCCGGAGGTAGTCTAAGATACCACTTCGTATATTTCAAAATCCATGTATTTAGATGTACTTACTCTAGGTCTTGGTCCATGGCCATAATCCCAGGCATTGCAAGCAACAAGGGATGCATGTAAAGGTTAAATTGGTTTAAATTGGTAATAATAATGGGTAAAATATGTGTGAATGGTAATGATGCAAAAATGTAACCACAAAAAAATGAACAAGCTGATTTCAACAATGGTGAGTTAAGCAAAGATGTTGCGAAATTCAAGGGTAACAACACAACAAGTCTGAGCAACAATTGTCTTGGCGGGCGAGAGGATAAGAGTAACTCCGTAGTATATAGCAGGAGTTATCCAATTATCCTGTTGCATACTTACTGTAGTCAGGATACGACCAATCATTTTTCCTGTATCAGAAATGTAGGCATGTGTTCTTGGGATATATGTTTTTAAATGCAAAATCAAAATTAACCATGTCGATCCGTGTGGGTGCTTCAAAAATTAAAGCTAGTTTACCCTCCGGTAATGAAACGTGGCAATGGAAAATTCCCCATATTCCCATTAAAGTCTCCACTCATAGGGGATTTTCCATTGCCACGTTTGATTAACGGAGGGTAGTATTGAACAGGACAACATGGCATATAAACATACTTGGCTCGGGCCTTGAAATCCGAAGGTTTGGGATTCACAAATTGGTGGCTTGCAGGTGTCCATACGTATAGAATCGAATCATACATACATGTACGTACTGCATATTATTATAGTCATATACACATGTGTTTAATCATATAGAAATATAATATATATATATATATGTATATATCATAATATATATATATACACATATTATTATTATATATAGTACACATATTTATACGTCTACCATGTATATGTAAATATGTATATATGATATTGACAATGATCCCTGAGGCTAGATATGATTTGAAATTCTCCTGCCGGCCGACCCGGGCACTTGACGTCTGGCCAAGGAGTACCCGAGGAGGAACTACCAACGTTGCCCAAGCCCAGCGTGTGAAGCGACCCCCCCAAGACCCTTCCAGAAAGAGTTGGTGATTTTCAGGGTCTATGTTAACCAGATGCTAATTTCTGAATGCTGCTTGATGGCTACTTTTACAATCGTCCATATTTGAATGGGTCAAAGACTGACTTTTTCATCGGAAATATATACGAAGATCAGCTAGAATGCTAGAAAGGGAGAATTGTCATTGACAGGGGAGATTACAAGAGGCCAATCCCTCAAACCTAACAAGCGCCCCCCATGTCATTTCAACTGCACTGAGAAGGAACTTGGCGCTCAACTTTGGAACACTGATGCCCGCTCATGTGAATTGGATTAAACAAAAAATACCTTTAACATCTCAGAACTTCGGGAACTAGATGGAATTCATTCCCCATTATGTATCAACTGGTGAAAATTCCAGCCCCGATTGCAGATGCCCCGGCCCAATTCACTAGACTCATGTTGGCGCGCTGCAAGCAAAAAGGAGCTGCTTTCCATTGACCTGCAGCTTTCTGGGGATTTTCCCTCAAGCCCAAACCAATGATCCATGAAATCAGATTAAATCTATGATTCATTGGCTAAATCCCACATGTTTATCCATTGTTCATATTTGAATCCGTCATTTTTGCCTGGAAAACCCATGGAAAAGCCAACCATTTTTTAACCCGGAGACTCCACCGTGTGTCGCCATGTGGGCCATGTGGGCTATGGTGATTTTCCGGGCCGATGGTCAACAAGTGGAATGGAATAGGGTAGCTTCTTTTCAGTCAGTCAACGCTTTATCAATGAATCTAAATTATGTAAATTTATGAAAATGCACCTTCCACCATTTTTGGGATACTGTATGTTTGGTGGATTTTCACATTTTTTATGGAAGAAATCCGTATTCCTCCAGAGTTTGCAACGTCATTTTTGATCAACGGGTGAACTGGTCAGGCCAGCGATTCTCCATGGGAGCCAACCTATCACTGGGGGTGCCGACAGTCGAAAATTCCATCCTTTCAGGGGCCCATGTGCAGGACCCAGCAAGTTGCTCCGTTGGAGTAGTTGTTTTCCTGGAAATATGCGCAGAGGCAACAAGGTTGACACAAGGCAGATTTAGTGCTGTAGTATCCTTATTTTTCCCATGGTAACAATAACATACCGTTATTTTGTGCATCATAAGCACCACATCCCATCATTTTGTCGATCATAACCAACAACCATCACATCCACCATCCATCATCCATCACATGCCAGCACATACGTAGTGTTATCGTGGCCATCATAATCATCGCCTCTTTTGTCTCATTGTCGTCACAATCTGGTCGTCATCATCATCATCACCACCATCACCACCACCACCACCATCACCATCACCATCACCACAATCCTTATATCCTTATTATCCTCATTATCCTCATCATCACAATTAGTCATGATACTTATCATCAGAAGTTAATAGTAATATTGACAATAATAGTAATACTAGATAAATATAAATAACCATCATCGCTATCAGCTATCATCCTTATCATGAAAAAAGGTGATAATAATCAAAATCACCATCATCATCCTCATCCCAATCCTCATCCTAGATCCCAGAACTTTGCACCCGGGTCTCAGATTGGGGGGAGCGGTTGAAAGCGGAAGTTTAGACACTCGTGGCACAAGCGATACTTTGCCATCCCCATCCATGGCCCTTATCCGCAAGCCTCAGAGAGCAAGCCTCAAGGAGAAGCCTTGGCACATCGGAGTTTGCGCTGTGTGGCGGGGGAGTGGCAGAGCCCCGAATGCCTGGAGGCGTGCGCAATGGCTGGGGAAGCCCCGAAGTAAATTAAGGTGTTATAGCTGGGAAAAGCATCGATGAGCTAGTGCCCTCACGTAATTTGTTGCATGGCTATGGAAGTTATGGCCGAGTTCGATGATTTACCTAGTAGGTGATTTTCCATAGCAAACAGTCAAACATCCAGGTAGTTAGCTAATGTTAGCTAACATTTGGGAACTAAATGGATCATTTAAATTCATTTAAGCCATTTAACTATAACCCCCGAATTAGGTGACCCCACCCAAGAATGTGTGGGTTATTGTGGGTTTATGTTTTGGATTGTTTGTGCTTATTTAGCCAGCAACAACATCTTACCCCATCTATTGGGGTTCGGTCATCTTTGGCGCTGGTGAAATCCCCATGGTTCACTGGTAACTGGGTGATTCCCTGATTTCAACGGGTCAGTAGTCATGGGGAAAAGAAAAGAACACTGAAACCGCTATTAACCACTATTAACCACTATTAACCATTGGTTAACCATTGGTTAACCATTTATAGATCCATTTATAAAGCCACAAAGCCGGAGATCCTCCTTGTGTAGGTTGTCGCTGTTCCCTGAAAAGCCGCGGTTTGTCACCGCCCAGGTGAGCGGTCCAGAGATGTCAAGCATGGGATGACCCCAAGGGATGCCTGTGTTTGGAACTCAGTGGCTGCGGTGGACTAATTCTTTGCCAACACACCTATGGGACTAATGGAGAGATTGCTTAGCATTTTTGCAGGGATAAAGTATGATAAGTATAACGTTTCCTATAAAACTGGGATTTTCACCAGGAACTGCATGATGAACATTCCCTAGCCGCCTTAGCAAATGAACATAAACCGCGGTCAATCTGCCATCCCTCATTTGGATGGGGAAAGCCCCAATAGGCTGGTGATCTCCGACCTTCTTTGGCTCCAGGCTGATGTGACAGCGACAAAAATTCCGTTGGCAAAAGTTGGTCGTCTTACAGTACATCTTCACTTCTCACTTAATAGTGGTTAATAGTGGTTTATAGTGTTTACATCTTAAACATGATTTCCATGAAATTTCCAATCCACGAATCTCAGCAGATGAGAAAAGGTATCCCCCACCAGCACGTTGTCGTGGCACTTCTGACAGCGTTGGATGCTGGAAAAGGTCGACCAGTGGATCCATGTGGTTTTGTTTGAAAAGACTCCCAAATTTGAAAGTTGAGAACAAACACACAGCTACGGCCATGCTTTGGGATCCCCCACAGCCCCGTATAGGCCCTATAGGTAGCCCTTTTTCTGGCGCCATGGCCGCCCCACCCAGTCGCAAGCCAAGCCGGAAACGACTTCAAACCAATACCAGCCTCCCGCAGCTTCAGGCAAGGGCCTATAGGGATGCCCTCGAGTCATGCGATGCGGTGGAAGATTGGCCATGGTCAGTTAGTTCACTGTTCGCCCACCAGTTTGCGGGGGAAAAAACTTCAGTTACTAAGCAGTTAACTATCTCCATGGCCCACCCTAAGAGGGGATGTAAAGTTCTTCGTCCAGGGTCTGGTAGATAAGATGTGACTATAGACGATATTTACTGCCTCATTCTCGGGTGTCCAACTGTTCTATTTGTTTAAGGGTTCATATTTGGATCAAGAGACATAGACGTTTCAGGAACTTTGGACCTCCCACAAAAATCAGTTGGAACCACAAGCGGCTTGACATGCTAGTAGCCTTTTGGATTTAAAACATGGTGTGTCCCGTTTTTTTTTGGAATTTAAGTGCATGATCCCTGATACCCTCATTTCATCAACGTGTCAATGGTTCCAATCCCCCATTTAGTGCCCCATGATTTTCGCAGAGAACCTCCATGATCTACCCATCGGATGTTCCACATTGGGTTACCAAAGATGATCCAACAACTAGCCATGGTTTTTGCTGGTTTCTATTGCTGAGCAACTGGGATGTTGGGTGTTGGCAAACTCCTTCAGTTTGCTGGTGGTACTTGTAATTCTGTAAAACTTGCTGAGCTCGTGGAAGCACAATTATTGATACGATTTAATATTCTCGTGCGTTGCATTATTCAATTAATCTGATTCTTTGTTATTTTGCCACAATTGAGGGGGCGAAGGGCGGAGGGGAAAATACTACCTAGCCAAAAACGGTTTATTCGTTTTGCCCAAACAGAACAACAACTTTGTGTCTACTATGTGACAATGTGCATTTCTTGTTCTGAAATACCTGGTTTATGGCAACATAATGGCAACATAATATGGGGATGGGTCAAAACAGATTACCATATTTAGGGGAATAACCATCCATTAGCCAGCTATTTTAGGGTACCTAGAGTACCAGGTTTTGACCCATTGGTCCATATGGCAACAAAGTACGCCAGAAAAGTGTTTTGTTGAAGTTTCTGTGCATTTTTGCCAGTCGCTTTGTTCGCTTGGTCGAAAAATCCATTTTTTGAGCAGGCTACGAGCACCAGGTTTGAGCACCCGAGATGCATAGCATTTGGGACCACTTGGGACCTTGGGCAGGGGCAGCATGGAACCCACCGACGATAAGTTGACGATCCATTTTTCTGGCACAGAAACATGAGCCTTAAGTTTGTATGAAGACAACTTTGGGGATTAAGATGGATTAAGGAATGGACCGACCAAAGATGGTAGAACTTTTGGGGTTCATCCTCCGCGATCAACACGAGTATCGCCCATGATTTCTATGATTTTCTATGCAAATGTATATCGATGAATACATCCTATAATTATAATTATATATAGATATTATTGAATAGATCAGTGTTTTCATTGGCTTAATACATGTCTATCACAATCCAAATCTAGCTCAACCACATCATGATTGTTCCGGAAGCCATTGAACCTGCTGGTTTCATCTTCCACTGGAAACATCTCCATCCCCCGATACCTTCAACAAGAATCATAAAATTCCCTGGTTGGTTCATAAATGTGTTGGAACTTATAGTACCTGTGATTACCTGTGTAATTTGTTGGGGATGATGATAAGCCATAGTTCCCTTGCCACTACCACGATCGCAAGAAAGTTTGAGGCACCCTGAGGCACCGAAATCATGTATCGGCATCCAAGCGCCTCGCCTGGCGGTTTCGAAATCCTTTCAACTGAACCCCCCTAATTCACCAGGAATCGACTCGCGGCTTAGATGATTCGGTCCTGAAAATGGTCTAAATGTGTTGGTCCATCGCCCATCGCTATGTTTGGGCACCATATTCGTTGTCATGTCACGGTGGCACAGCCCAGGGGCGTCAAAAATGGCTTGGCCGGCAGCAAATCGCTACCACAGATGCCATTGTTGCGTTGCTCTTCTGCAGTCACCATGCTGGGCCGTGCTGGGGTGATTCTTGGGCATTGATACGGATATATTTAGGACATGTCCGCAACCATTTGTTCCGTTCCGGCCTTGACATTGAGAAAACTAGATCGAAGGGACACACACATATATATATAATATGTATATGAGCTACAGCTACAGCCAAAATTTACGGCAATGGAAAGTAGTATTCGAGGCGTCTCTATTTTTTGGAAACTGAGCTGAGGCTTGGAAAACGATAATACACTCTTCAAAAACGATAACGTGTGCTTATGTTGATCTTGGTCATCAGTCATCCTGTGTCTTACGGCGCAAGTTATTCAATGTATTTCGTATGAGAGAAGCAAACGGCAAAACCTTTTTTTTTAGCAATAGATGTGTGGTGATGGTTTGCGTTTGGCAGCCATTTTGGTTCTGACATCTGCTGATCTTCCATGTATCCAGTAGCAATGCATCAAGCTTTCCTCAAGACAACACTACGACTTTCCAAACAAAAGGGTTTCCCATAGATTTCTCCAGAATCATTGCTTTTTTTTTTTCTGGATCCAACCAGGTGTTTCAAACGATAACCCAAACGATAACGAAACGATAACCAAAAAATCACAAAACCCCTATCGGCCAGACACTGGCCCATTTGCTCGCTGAAAGCCTGTTTTTCTTGGCGCGTGTTGCTCATCAAAGCACTATAGTCGTTTCCTCTCGCCGGCCACCGGCCACCGGCCACTGGCCACCGGCCACCGGCCACCGGCTCACCGGCTCACCGGCCACCGGCTCACCGGCTCACCGGCCACCGGCCACCGGCCACCTGCTCACCGGCTCACCGGCCACCGGCCACCGGCCACCCGCCAGCCACCCGGCCACCTGCGACCGGCCACCGGCTCACCGGCCGCCGGCCAACCACCGGCCACCGGCCACCGGCCAGCAAGATAAAACGACTATTCCCCATCAAAAGATGAGCAAGCAAGCGCAAGACATGGCAGGACTCAGATTTTTCCTCAATGAGTTGTGGCAACATGAGACAGAAGGGGGACAATTGATTGCAGAGGCACAAGAGGCTGTATCAGGGAAAGCACAGCCCGGCAAGAAGAAATGGAATGACCAGACGCAGCAGGCGATTATTGTGCCACAGCGAATGCAGAAGCACGAAGCACTATTGCCTGAAGGTGCTGATGCACGCTTCGATCTACAGAGCCTGATCGACCGCAAGAAAAAACCATCGAGAAGAGAAAGCAAAGACTAGATCGAAAGAGAACTTTGCAAAATGCGAGTGAAAGCGGCACCACGGACAGCAGCATACAGCAGCAGCGACACTTCGGACTCCAGCGACTGAAAAAAAAGATTGCGCTCCACGTGAAAGTGGGAGGAAGTATTTGATTCGTTGCTTTTCACCATCAGAATACCATGGAATATGCAAGGAATAGGAACATGGTGGCCCAAAACCTGAAAAACGATAATACACTCTTCAAAAATTGATGACATTCAGCTAGATAATAAATATTGACCGTGGCCCTATATATATATACATATCATATATATATATATACAAATATATATATATACATACACCCCTTCAAGGCTACTTTTCAGGGAGGGACCATACCAAAATGTAAGATACATTCTTTGGGAACCCCACCTTAAATGTAAAATTGGTCGCTGACAGGTGTCGTTTTTGTGGGGAGGGTCTTCAAAATACCTTCAAAATGAAAGCTTACATGTTCAAGGCCCCCATCAAAAACACCTTGAAAAATGTAGCTTACATTTTGGGTATGTCCCCCCTTAAAACGGTGGTGATCATATATATATATATATATTAAGTAACAGGCAGATAGAATATTCAAAATTTCATTGATTTGAAAATAACACATAGAATAATGCAAAATTTATAGCTGGGTAAATTTTACACATAGAATGATCCAAGACCTAAAATATATAATTTTAGGGAAATCATTTTTAAAAGCATCATTTTTCCTGTGTTTTACCAGTGTTTTCAACAGATAGAATAATAACCTATTTTCCAGACCCCGTCGACCCCTCATCTCCTCAATTCCCAAAGCAACAGTCAACATTGCTGGCACACTACAACAACTCAACTTTGAATTTTTCCATCCACTCCATATGGAACTCATGTACAGACATACTAAACAAATAATACATTCACTCATAATTGATTGGCTGGCTAATATCACTTACTGCAATCAAAATAGTACAAAAGATTGGCTGGAGCCAGCAAAGCTGGCAGCCCATGTAGCTGGAATATTCTATCTGTTGATTTTGAATCATTTTGCGTATTAAAACATACAGCAAAATGTGGTCGATTTACGTTCTATCCGAAAAAACACCGCAAACCAACATCAACATGAAACATGCACGCACACACACACACACCTGACCATCAAACATAGTGCATCGAATGTTCAGTTGCAATGCTTTCGACACCCATCGACACCCACAGACGGACGATGCTCTACACAAACATCACAAACACAGCCTTTGCCCCTGACAAATGCATATAGTGCTATGGAAACAGACGATGTGAACAGAAACAACTGCAACTTACTATGTGTTTCTCCTTCGGTTGGCGTGAATGTCTGTTTTATCCATGCTTGGTTCAAACAATAATGTTCGGAAATATCTCTACCCCATGTGGACACCAACAGACAGAATAGTCCAAAGTCAATCAAAAGATAGATTAATACAGAAACTATGATACATGATAAATTTGGGAAAAAAACGAATCAAGTCTAAGTTTTCAGAAAATCATTTGCACGTTTGGAAACAAATTCATTCACTCATAATTTATTGACTGGCTTGTATGCAACTTCTTTCAATCAAAACGGTACAAAAGATTGGCTGGAGCCAGCAAAGCTGGCACTCCATATAGCTGGAATATTCTATCTGTTGATTTTGAATCATTTTGCATTATTTTTAAAAAATACAGCAAAATGGGGTTTTTGATTTAACGTCATCCTAGTTGTCAAACATGAAAAACTCTCGCCCAAAACGCAAATGCCACAGAAACATGCACACACACACCTAACCTTGCTAACCATGCCTTTCAAACATAGTGCATCGAATGTTCAGTTGCAATGCTTTCGACACCCATCGACACCCACAGACGGACGATGCTCTAGACAAACACAGCCTTTGCCCCTGACAAATGCATATAGTGCTATGGAAACAGACGATGTGAACAGAAACAACTGCAACTTACTATATGTTTCTCCTTCGGTTGGCGTGAATGTATGTTTTATCCATGCTTGGTTCAAACAATAATGTTCCGACATATGTCTACCCATGTGGACACCAACAGATAGAACAGTCCAAAGTCAATCAAAAGATAGATTAATACAGAAACTATGATAAATGATAAATTTGGAAAAAAAACGAATCAAGTCTAAGTTTTCAGAAAATCATTTGCACGTTTGGAAACAAATTCATTCACTCATAATTTATTGACTGGCTTGTATGCAACTTCTTTCAATCAAAACGGTACAAAAGATTGGCTGGAGCCAGCAAAGCTGGCACTCCATATAGCTGGAATATTCTATCTGTTGATTTTGAATCATTTTGCATATTAAAACATACAGCAAGATGTGGTTGATTAACGTCTTAGTTGTCAAACAATTTGAAAAACTCTCGCAAAACGCAAAACCAACATGAAACATGCACACACACACACCTAACCCTTGCTAACCATACCTCATCAGACATAGCGCATCGAATGTTCAGTTGCAATGCTTTCGACACCCATCGACACCCACAGACGGACTCTACACAAACATCACAAACACAGCCTTTGCCCCTGACAAATGCATATAGTGCTATGGAAACAGACGATGAGAACAGAAACAACTGCAACTTACTATGTGTTTCTCTTTCAGTTGGCGTGAATGTATGTTTTATCCATGCTTGGTTCAAACAATAATGTTCGGAAATATATCTACCCCATGTGGACACCAACAGACAGAATAGTCCAAAGTCAATCAAAAGATAGATTAATACAGAAACTATGATAAATGATAAATTTGGGAAAAAAACGAATCAAGTCTAAGTTTTCAGAAAATCATTTGCACGTTTGGAAACAAATTCATTCACTCATAATTTATTGACTGGCTTGTATGCCACTTCTTTCAATCAAAACGGTACAAAAGATTGGCTGGAGCCAGCAAAGCTGGCACTCCATATTATAGCTGGAATATTCTATCTGTTGATTTTGAGTCATTTTGCATATTAAAACATACAGCAAAATGTGGTTGATTAACGTCCTAGTTGTCAAACAATTAGAAAAACTCTCGCAAAACGCAAAACCAACATGAAACATGCACACACACACACACCTAACCCTTGCTAACCATGCCTCATCAGACATAATGCATCGAATGTTCAGTTGCAATGCTTTCGACACCCATCGACACCCACAGTTGGACGATGCTCTACACAAACACAACCTTTGCCCCTGACAAATGCATATAGTGCTTTGGAAACAGACGATGTGAACAGAAACAACTGCAACTTACTATATGTTTCTCCTTCGGTTGGCGTGAATGTATGTTTTATCCATGCTTGGTTCAAACAATAATGTTCGGAAATATGTCTACCCCATGTGGACACCAACAGACAGAATAGTCCAAAGTCAATCAAAAGATAGATTAATACAGAAACTATGATAAATGATAAATTTGGAAAAAAACGAATCAAGTCTAAGTTTTCAGAAAATCATTTGCACGTTTGGAAACAAATTCATTCACTCATAATTTATTGACTGGCTTGTATGCAACTTCTTTCAATCAAAACGGTACAAAAGATTGGCTGGAGCCAGCAAAGCTGGCACTCCATATAGCTGGAATATTCTATCTGTTGATTTTGAATCATTTTGCATATTAAAACATACAGCAAAATGTGGTTGATTAACGTCCTTTTATCAAACAATTTGAAAAACTCTCGCAAAACGCAAGACCAACATGAAACATGCACACACACACACACCTAACCCTTGCTAACCATGCCTCATCAGACATAGTGCGTCGAATGTTCAGTTGCAATGCTTTCGACACCCATCGACACCCACGATGCTCTACACAAACACAACCTTTGCCCCTGACAAATGCATATAGTGCTTTGGAAACACACGATGTGAACAGAAACAACTGCAACTTACTATATGTTTCTCCTTCGGTTGGCGTGAATGTATGTTTTATCCATGCTTGGTTCAAACAATAATGTTCGGAAATATGTCTACCCCATGTGGACACCAACAGACAGAATAGTCCCAAGTCAATCAAAAGATAGACTAATACAGAAACTATGATAAATGATAACTTTGGAAAAAAAAAACGAATCAAATCTAAGTTTCCAGAAAATCATTTGCACGTTTGGAGACAAATTCATTCACTCATAATTTATTGACTGGCTTGTATGCCACTTCTTTCAATCAAAACGGTACAAACGATTGGCTGGAGCCAGCAAAGCTGGCACTCCATGTAGCTGGAATATTCTATCTGTTCATTTAAATCATTTTGCATATTAAAACATACAGCAAAATGTGGTTGATTAACGTCCTAGTTGTCAAACAATTTGAAAAACTCTCGCAAAACGCAAAACCAACATGAAACATGCACACACGCACACACCTAACCCTTGCTAACCTTGACTCATCAGACGTAGTCAATCGAATGTTAAGTTGCAATGCTTTCGACACCCATCGACACCAACAGACGGACGATGCTCTACACAAACACAACCTTTGCCCCTGACAAATGCATATAGTGCTATGGAAACAGACGATGTGAACAGAAACAACTGCAACTTACTATGTGTTTCTCCTTCGGTTGGGGTGAATGTATGTTTTATCCATGCTTGGTTCAAACAATAATGTTCGGAAATATGTCTACCCATGTGGACACCAACAGATAGAACAGTCCAAAGTCAATCAAAAGAAGATTAATACAGAAACTATGATAAATGATAAATTTGGGAAAAAAACGAATCAAATTTATTTTTTCCAGAAAATCATCGGCACGTTTGGAAACAAATTCATTCACTCATGATTTATTGACTGGCTTGTATGCCACTCATTGCAATCAAAACGGTACAAAAGATTGGCTGGAACCATTAAAGCTGGCACTCCATGTAGCTGGAATATTCTATCTGTTGATTTTGAATCATTTTTCATTCAAAATATGGAACATATAATATATTCGATACACATCCTGTTTGTCAAATTAAAACATGCACACACACACACACCTAACCCTTGCTAACCTTGACTCATCAGACGTAGTGCATCGAATGTTCAGTTGCAATGCTTTCGACACCCATCGACACCCACAGACGGACGATGCTCTACACAAATACAGCCTTGGCCTTTGCACCTGACAAATGCATAGTGCTATGGAAACACACGATGTGAACAGAAACAACTGCAACTTATGTGTGGTTCATTGACAATGTACGGAAATAGCTGTACCCTTGGGGAAATCAACAGATAGAATAGTCCAGCAGATAAATCATACAAAAAATTGCAAAAATCATGATAAATGCGAATTTGGTCAAAGTTTCCGGAAAATCATTGATGCCTCTGAAAACCCTATATATATATATACACGGATTAACAGATAGAATATTCAATACTGCAACGAAACCTCAAAAACTATTCTATCTGCGAGTTATACTGTCAACGTGTTTTCTGCCATTTTTTCATTTTTAACTTACCCGAAAAAGTCATTGATTTTATTCTATGTGCCAGTTACTGAATATATATAAAATGTAATACATGGCATTAAGATGATTTAGATGCAGCTAAAAGCTGATATTGTTCTTGGATATTTTGACCATTTCCACAACTCATCCTCCGGATGTTTCGAAACCACTAGTTTTTGGAACCTTTCTTTGTCCGTCCTCTGCCGCAAAAGCTGTTGACATTGATCTTTTACTCCATAGATGTTGCGGTCATGGTTTGGTGAAATTGGCGACTTCGTCAAAGGCCACGTCCTTGGAGATCAACCTCTGGTGACCGATGTTGGATTTATTCTACTTGCACTTCAGTATCACTCTTTAACGTTGTTGCCATTTGCCGGAGACGTTCCTGTTATTGTTTCAATATGTTTCAGTAACACTAACTACAGTAAATATATTATTATCAATATACTATCACAATATCTTTCAATAATACTACTATCATCTTGTTGTTTCCCTGGATTGGTGGTGCTACCATTTAAGCGCCGTTGTGGATTCCGGCCCAGCCCCCAGGACAGCAAGAAGCCAATACCTTGCACACCGAGCAGAAAAGGACTGCGGGCGGGTCGACTGGGCACGACTGGAGATGATCTTCCTTTTACCATGTGGGCAAAGCATGGGATAATGATGGGATAGTGGGAGAAGATGGGAGAATAATGGACAAGAATGTTGTAAAATCACTGGATGATACTCTATATGTGTATCCCTCCGGGGCGGACGTTCGCCCAAAGTTTCATTGGGGTTTAGTTACGTTGTGATTTGTTCAGGATATATTTCAGATTGTTTTGGAGTTTGCTTAGGGTTGGTTTGGATTTTCCTTAGGGTTTGTTTAGGGTTTATTTAGGGTTTGTTTAGTTAATAGTCGTGCTATTTAGGCGTTTTAAGGTTTGCTCACGGTTGTTTTAGGGTCTATTTAGGGTCATCTAGTGTTGATTTTGGGTTGGTTTGGGGTTTGTTTAGGGTTTATTTAGGGTTAGGCTATTTTGGTGTTCTTTGAAAGTCTTGCGGTCTGTTGAGGTCTCAGTTAACTGCTCAAAACACTGCAAATTACGGAGGATATCTTCAAGATACGCTTCAAAAGGTGATTTTGGCATATTTTGGCACCGTCTTAGGTCAGAGCAAAAATGCCATGAGACGCAGGTAATATCAATATTTTGCATGCTCACAGTGTGCGAAAAACACGCACGGAAACAACACAGCAGATTGCAGTCCCGAATGGAATTCCGTGGATTCGGGCAAACGTCAGCCCTCTAGCGATATGTATATATATATATATATGTTATAGACACTATAACTATATGTGTTGGGTGTGTCTGAAAATGGGGTGCTCCTAAATCCATTCTCCCATGAATCTTTGGATCATCTCCGTGTGTCAACTGGAGACATTCGGAATAGCAGCGACCTATAAACGAACCATTCGGAACACGTACTCTTACAATCTCTTACATCCTTCATATTAATTATTATACTTTACTATCATATGATATATTGAACATTAATATATACCTTGTACTTTTGCCCATTGTAGATATCTCCATGGGAAAAGCCACTGGCTCGCAGTCGCACCTGCAGTGGCTTCTTCGTCCCACTGCCGCAGCTGCAGCATGCGCCGTTGCCGCATTTCCAACAACAAGCCCTGAAGATTCTCGGTGAACGTCTTGCCCGTGGCGCTACCGATGGCTATGGATGGGGCGAAAAGAGGTGATGGTAATGGGCCGGTAACGGATGAGTCTATTTGAGTTATTCACACTGCTTTGGAAGCCCAGCAGCTTCCATGGTTCCGTTCCGGTTTTCGGGTCCGGCAAAAAAGACTGTAACACGATTGAAAGCCAACGGTCACCGCTGTTGGGAATCAACCCATGTCCATTGATCAGCGGATATATATAAGTCAGCTACTACCTAGGCAACGAACAGGGATGTTCGCGCTGAAGTTTGTGAAATGGATGGTAGCAGAGTGCAATACATTCAAACAGTCAGTGATGGTGGTTATCCCGCATAAGAATTGCTGAAGCGATTTTATGAATTTACCTCCTGGTAAGTGATTGATTATCTTAATAAGACATACTTAAATTACTTAAGTGGTACCCCTAATTCCGCTGGATTATAGTAATGTTCTCCCATTAGAATATAGGCATTTGGGGGTATACCATATTTCACACACTTGGATAAATATGGGACTTCTCCAATCTATGCGTGTTGCACTTGGATACCACGTCCTACTGCTTTGTCACTGGATGTCAACCAGGTTGGATGTGATACGGATTCCAACCCCACTTCAGCTTCACACTTCCAGGTAGATTAGCGACTCATCAATCAAGTACAAAGCCGTTTGATTTGGGATCTCAAAATGGGGAAACATCCCAAGTTATGGCAGTTTTGACAATGAAGATGATGAGAAGCATGAATTCGGGAAAGAGAACTTGACACAGCTTCACTTCATGTCCATATCCAATCCCATAGGATCCATGGTGCTGGTATATATGCTAACATTGGGGGTATATTGATGGGATCCATGTTACCATATATAGCAGCACCATGGATCCGTCATGGGAATAACATCCAATAGCGGATCCCAGTGGGCCCAAGGGGCCCAAAACCTTGGAATTTCGCCATTTTTCGAGGCAGAGCACCATTGCACGCGTTGCGAAGCTGGCAAACGCTTCTCCCGCCGTGATGCCCGGTGTTTGGAGGCCGCCGCAATGGACCGATGGCACAGATTCCTGATGGATATCTGGCGAGATTTCTAGGATTTTCTAGCTACATTGATAAATATGTATACATATATATATATTATTAGTTATATATCCGGGTTTATGTCATTTAAGTCATTTTAAGGCAGTATCTTGGCAAACGCAGAGCATATAGTACAATTCCTCATAATTCCCAATATACTCTTGAAATTCTGGAGGGAGTACTGAGTACTCACCATAAATCCTTTTCCCAGTATTGCTATGACCCAGAAAATTGAGGTTCAATTGGCCTTGCCAATATTGTCTGAAAGTTGGGCCTGACAAAGACCCTATGTGCCACAGTCAAAAGTTGGGATTCGACCCTGCCAACTTGCATCGACCGGCAGTGTTCCACTCAGGATTCCTTGAAAAGCTGGGATGATTTCCCAGCTTGTGGGCTGGAAAGAATGCCAGGAATAGTCAGTAGGTAACCAAGCCAAAACCGATCTACATCATACAGGTGAGTGTAATGTAGCGGTATGTTAGTTATGGTATGTTGAAGCTATGTAATGTAATGTAATGTAATGTAAGATAGAAGATATGTAGAAGTATATTAATATTTTGATATTTTCATATGTGTATATATATATATATGCAGATGAAGATATGCATATTATACACAGACTAGGTGTATGGACCCCACTGGGGGCTTACCCTCCAGCCTCCCATCGCCAGGTTGGAAACGCGTGCAGGAATCTATACAGACCTGGAACGAGACACTTGGAGTGGTGGATGTGGATGAGCCTAGCCTCGGGTAATTTGCTACGTAGCTGCTATGAAAATTGGCCCAGTCGAAATAGTGGATTTTCCCATGAAAAATGGTGTTTTCCTTAAAAAATGGTGATTCACCTATAAAAGAATAGCTGATTTACCCTCTGGTAAACATACAAAAAGCTATTGAAAATGGCCATTTATAGTGGATTTTCCCATGAAAAATGGTGATTTTCCATAGCTATGTTAAATTACCAGAGGGTACCTATAAAAGAACGTGATTTTGCCTAGTGATGTTAAATTACCAGAGGGTAAGCGTTTCCAGGTGATAAAACCGCAGGGTGTTTGTTAAGATGTGGAGAAAAAGGTGGAAACATGTGGGCAGTGTTAATCCCCCACGGTGAATGAAAAAAGATCATCATCTTGACAGTTGATAGGCAGTAAGAGGCATGATGTTGATAAATACTTTGCAATAGCATGCATACAGAATGTCATGAGACCCAACAAGTATTGTCAAGTATAGCATGTGGATCTTTTCCTTTGCAGTGTTTACCCTCTGGTTAAAAAAACATAGCTATGGAAAATCACCATGTTATAGAATATATAATTAGGAAAATCAACTATTTCTATGGACCATGTCATGTTCAGTAGCTTTGTTAAATCATAAGAGGTTATCTCCTGTAAATCCACCATGATCGCGGAATATTAACCATATATTAAGCATATATATATATATTATACCCTCTGGTTATTTAACATAGCCATGGAAAATGGCGCAATTATAGATGATTTTCCCAGCTATAAACCTCCATCTGTAAGGGATTCCCATGATTCCCATGGCTATGTTAGTCATAACCAGAGGGTATCCATAATCTTCACCAGTTCTCAGGATCTGGAAGTGAAGACAATGAAAGAAACTACTGCACGCTGGAAACCAACTGCCGACATGGCCGAGCTCGAGGCTACGACGGCTACGACGCAGGTTGTAGAAATAGATGCAAAGCAGATGAAATAATATACGTTTGTTTCAGGTGATTCGGCTTATGTTCCCAATGGGAAATCCACTAGGACTGGGGAATCGAAAAGGGACTATGAGTTATTTTTTGGGAGGCTCTGTTTGGGCATGTCCAAGAAAATGTATATGTAAATATCATGTACATATCATATGTGGGTATAGGTAGACAGTTTTGAAAAGAGTTTCGGGACTGGCCCAAGGTTGACGATTCATTGGTTTTACCTGAGCATCTGAATTTTGGTTATTGTAACACCGTATGTATTTCGTGGGTAACCCGGTAATCCAATTTTATATACCAGTGGTCATGCAAGTGTTGGTTCCATTCCCGTGTTCATCCATTGTATATATTGAACACCGTTGTTTAAAAGTTTGTGTTTGTCCCTGTTTGTTCAGCATATAGGATCATTTGGATGGTTTACTCAATATGCGCAAATGGTTTGTGCTTTCAATATGTGGTGTTTTCAGTTTTCTTGGGATGATTTTCTCATTTTCTCTACTTCTAAGATCCCAAATCATATTCTTGGAATGGGTGGAACCACCAACCAGCATTTGGGTCTGGGTCAAAATGATTCGATCCCCCAAGGGTTTGATGTCTTCAGTCTCAGCTTCCTCCAAGTGGTTTATCCCATCTATAAATGGATTAAGCTATATCATATTACATGACCCATGCCTTAAGAAATTATTCCAGGGTATCAACTAGGTTATGGAATAATTTCTTTTGGAATAATTTTCAAGGAATAAATTTTGAGGGTGGTAGGTATACGATTATGCATGTTGGAATTTGAAAATCATGATCCAGCCCGTCAAGATACCCCGGAATAATTAGGTTTTGGAATAATTTTGAGTAACTTCAAACATCTTGAAGCAGCCTATACTTCCTACATTTGGCCTGGCCTTTCCAAAAGCCATTCCTAGCTTGGCGGTGTTTGCCTGAAAACTTTTTGCTGGAAATGCCAATTGCAGTTATTTAAGGCATCATGCAGTTTGGGCAATTGCTGCCAACTTTTTTTGCAGCATACTTGCACGCACAACTAGTGTCGACCGGACCACCTTTCTCTCACGGTACTTTCTCTCGAGAGCTCTTTGGGTGGCAATGAATGGGGAATGTTAGGAAAATACCTAGGAAAAGGCCAGGTTGAGTGCCATTGTGTGGGCTTTCCCCAGGGGGGAAATTATTCTAGGGGTATTGGAGATGCCTGGTACCCCTCAAAAACGAAAGCGGACAGCTAATCACAAAATTAGCCCAGAAATTGGCAAGAATTGCCAAAAAAACAAATGAAACCCCACACATTTCCCACCCATTCCCACTATGGCCAACGGGAGTTTTTTGGAAGGAAATGAAGGGAATATGGAAGAAATAGGGGGGCGGACGCAAAGTTGGGAAAACCTCTAGAAGAGAGCCAAGTTGTTTTTTTTTTCCGGGCTTTCCCCAGGGGAGAAATTATTCTGGAGGTATTGGAGATGCCTGGCACCCCTGAAAAACAAACGGGGGCAGCTGCTACAATCACAAAACAAATCCAGAAATTGGCAAAAAAAAATTAACCAGTGACAACCAAATATTTTGCTTTTCCCACTCATTCCCACTAAGGCCAGAACCACCAAACCAGCCCAGAAACTGGAAAACACCCAAAACCAACTAAAACCATGTTCAGCCAGTGGGTTGCTGAGAGGAAATTTGTTTAAAGATACTATTCTGACTCTTCTTGATCCTATCTGAGTATGTTGAAAATTGTTTAAATTTGTGCCCCAGCTCTGCAAGAAGGGAAACCGTTTTCGGCCGTTTGCGCGCAGCTGCTTACGATCACTTGCGTTTGGCTAGAAATAGACTATACCGGTATCATTTTGATGGAAATTATTCCATTTTTCCATATGAACTCATGAGTTCTTAGAATAATTTATTTTTTTGAACTCAACGGGTGCCGGAATAATATTATAATTATTCTGAGGTATGTTGACGGGGGTAATGTTGGTTCCTGATTAGTGTGTGGCCCCCCCGCTCCCCTAAACTATATCTGGACTCTCTTTAAAGTAGAAAAGCAAAAAAAATCTTCCCAAAAGAAAAACATATCCTCGATTAAGTAAGGATTTCAATTGGCTACAATTGAAATCTAATTACTATTGTTTTTTTTTGCCGATGAAGTTGTGGTATTTGTAGTACTTGTAGTACTTGTAGTACATGTAGTACTTGTAGACTTGTAGTACTTGTAGTACTTGTAGTACTTTGTAGTACTTGTAGTACTTGTAGTACTTGTAGTACTTGTAGTACTTGTAGTACTTGTAGTACTTGTAGTACTTGTAGTACTTGTAGTACTGTAGTACTTGTAGTACTTGTAGTACTTGTAGTACTTGTAGTACTTGTAGTACTTGTAGTACATGTAGTACTTGTAGTACTTGTAGTACTTGTAGTACTTGTAGTAATTGTAGTACTTGTAGTACTTGTAGTACTTGTAGTACTTGTAGTACTTGTAGTACTTGTAGTACTTGTAGTACTTGTAGTACATGTAGTACTTGTAGTACATGTAGTACTTGTAGTACTTGTAGTACTTGTAGTACTTGTAGTACTGTACTTGTAGTACTTGTAGTACTTGTAGTACTTGTAGTACTTGTAGTACTTGTAGTACTTGTAGTACTTGTAGTACTTGTAGTACTTGTAGTACTTGTAGTACTTGTAGTACTGTAGTACTTGTAGTACTTGTAGTACTTGTGGTACTTGTAGTACTGTAGTACTTGTAGTACTTGTAGTACTTGTAGTACTTGTAGTACTTGTAGTACTTGTAGTACTTGTAGTACTTGTGGAAAAGCTGTTCTTTAATAAGGGTTTAATATCCTTTGGGAAAGGCTTGGAGTTTGAATTTGGCAATTTTGGAACAGGCTTGCTTCCCTTCTGGGCTTCCAAGGGCTGCTCTGGCACAGCTTGCTGCAATAGTGAACCCAGCAAACAAACCTACTAAAGTGAAATGGAGCCTCTCCTGGTCCAGGGCCTTGGAAAATTGTGGAAAAGCTGTGCTTTAATAAGGGTTTAATAAGGGATTGGCTCCTTTGGGAAAGGCTTGGAGTTTGAATTTGGCAATTGCCTTTGGAAAAGGCTTGCTTCCCTTCTGGGCTTCCAGGGGCTGCTCTGGCACAGCTTGCTGCAATAGTGAGCCCAGCAAACAAACCTACTAAAGTGAAATGGAGCCTCTCCTGGTCCAGGGCCTTGGAAAATTGTGGAAAAGCTGTTCCTTAATAAGCGTTTAATAAGGGATTTGCTCCTTTGGGAAAGGCTTGGAGTTTGAATTTGGCAATTGCTTTTGGAAAAGGCTTGCTTCTCTTCTGGGCTTCCAGGAGCTGCTCTGGCACAGCTTGCTACAATAGTGAACCCAGCAAACAAACCTACTAAAGTGAAATGGAGCCTCTCCGGGTCCAGGGCCTTGAAAAATTGTGGAAAAGTTGTTCTTCAATAAGGGTTTAATAAGGGATTGGCCCCTTTGGGAAAGGCTTGGGGTTTGAATTTGGCAATTGCTTTTGGAAAAGGCTTGCTTCTCTTTTGGGCTTCCAGGAGCTGCGCTGGCACAGCTTGCTACAATAGTGAACCCAGCAAACAAACCTACTAAAGTGAAATGGAGCCTCTCCGGGTCCAGGGCCTTGGAAAATTGTGGAAAAGCTGTTCTTTAATAAGGGTTTAATAAGGGATTGGTTCTTTTGGGAAAGGCTTGCAGTTTGAATTTGGCAATTTTGGAAATGGCTTGCTTCCCTTCTGCAGGGGCTGCTCTGGCACAGCTTGCTGCAATAGTGAACCCAGCAAACAAACCTACTAAAGTGAAATGGAGCCTCCCCTGGTCCAGGGCCTTGGAAAATTATGGAAAAGCTGTTCTTTAATAAGGGTTTAATAAGGGATTGGTTCTTTTGGGAAAGGCTTGGAGTTTGAATTTGGCAATTTTGGAAAAGGCTTGCTTCCCTTCTGGGCTTCCAGGGGCTGCTCTGGCACAGCTTGCTGCAATAGTGAACCCAGCAAACAAACCTACTAAAGTGAAATGAAGCCTCTCCTGGTCCATGGCCTTGGAAAATTGTGGAAAAACTGTTCTTTAATAAGCGTTTAATAAGGGATTGGCTTCTTTGGGAAAGGCTTGGGGTTGGAATTTGGATATTGCCTTTGGAAAAGGCTTGCTTCCTTTCTGGGCTTCCAGGAGCTGCTCTGGCACAGCTTGCTGCAATAGTGAACCCAGCAAACAAACCTACTAAAGTGAAATGGAGCCTCTCCTGGTCCAGGGCCTTGGAAAATTGTGGAAAAGCTGTTCTTTAATAAGGGTTTAATAAGGGATTGGTTCTTTTGGGAAAGGCTTGGGGTTTGAATTTGGCAATTGCCTTTGGAAAAGGCTTGCTTCCCTTCTGGGCTTCCAGGAGCTGCTCTGTTACAGCTTGCTGCAATAGTGAACCCAGCAAACAAACCTACCTTGACTGAGCTATAGCGTTTTTGAGAAAAAAATGCCTCTCAGCAATTACAGTTTTCTTTTGCAAAAAAAAAGGCTCTCCCAATTTTGTTTTGCCACACAAGCGAACCCTCCAAACAATACATGAGTTTCAGAATAATTTGGAAAAAAATTGCCACAATAGCGACCCTAGGTACTAATCAGGACCCAACATTATCCCCTTAAGGCATCCCTCATCATATTACCCTTTTTTTACATATAGAAGGCGAATTGTTATTATTATATATGGATATAAAAACGTATTACTGTATAAGTATAGTTATTCACCACTTAGGAGGACGGGATGATCCTCGACCCATTTTTGTGCTTCCCATTCTTCGGGTCTTCGCGAAGGCTGAAGAGCTGAAGCGCCTGGAGAAGGTAAATCAGCGCCGGGCGATTCAACGGCCGGGGACCGAGCCGGCCCTTTCGCCAGTTCGCCGGCCATTTTTTTTGGGATGGGATTTGAATGGGAAAAAAATGGGATTCGAATGGGAAACGATGGGAAACTTAGAGACTTACCTCTGGTAAATTAACTTGTTGACCCTGATTTTATAGCCTAGTTTTAATGGAAACTCATCTGAACCAAGCCCGATGACTGCCAGGGTCTATGTTAATTTACCACAGGTAATCCATTACTTAAAGACTTAATCCATTAACATCTCATGAAAATGGAAAATCCATCCCATTAAAAAAGGACAAAACATTTATTATATATATATATAATGTTTTTTCCCCTTTTCAATGGAGGTTTGAATGGAAAAATTGACCATCGACTTGCTAAGTCGTTTGGGCAAGTTGAAGTCGGGCTGGAAATCTGGATACCGACTGGGTTTGATTCATAGCCCATGGCCACTCATCACTCGTAATTAGATATCAGTGTATGTATATATATATATGTACGATACATGAATGTCGCACATATGTACAGTAAGAATTCTAAGAAATTGTACTTTACCCTTAATTCAGGTGCTATATATAAACATATATACACCATTCCCAGTCATGGGTGGTTTATGGCATTGTTTTACCCGCATTGGGATGAAGATCAGTGAGGAATGAAGCAACGAAAACCCCTATGGGGAAATTGGCCAACAAACAATGGGGATGAGTAATGATTAGTATGTGAATCATGAGCAACAAGGTTGGCTAAGTTGAACTGAGAAGGTTAACTAGGGTTTGTGGTAGATATCTACAGTTAGATGGGGTATGATGGGGTTATGAATTATAAACCACCACAATTGTGCGGCCCCTTCCTGCATTTGTTTATTTCCAACCGTATAAGTGGGATGGTGAACGGAAATCGGGTGGCCGGAAGTTGTTTAGGTCATGAGGTAAACCCAATCCCATAGACTATCCCCAGTTAGGATATTGTATTGGATATACCCCTAGAACTGGGATGATGTTTACTATGACTTCCTTTTGCTGTTTGTTATATTGTTCAATGGTAGGTTCCAAAATAACGACAATTTTCACAGCGTAAATCCGTATTTTTGCTGCTTGAGTTCCACTATGTGCCTATATTGTGCCCTATATTATGGTGATAAAACAAGGTTGTGTTTACTACCAATCCGAAAATGTAGGGCACAATGCTATAAGTTTGTTTTTTACATGTTTATAATTATTAGATATATCCACCACAACCCCCAAAACAATCGGTTGGGGGCCATAAACCACGTCCTATCGGCCCCCGTCAGGCCTGTGGTGCACCTTAGTATGTGGGATCGCAAGAACTGCCAAAACACCGCGCTGGCGGGCGACAAGCAGTACGTTCCTGGGCCGATGAATAAAGTTCCGAAAGAGCGGTAGATATGGGTAAATGATGGTAAATGATAACGACCTTACTGTGACCTCACTGGAATGATGGTTAGTAAGAGGTAACTATCCCAAAATAGCCTTAAATATCCTTAAATCAGACTGGTGAGGATTATAATTCACCTAGATATCTACCCCCAAGTGAAAGCCGGCTATCTGAATGGGGAACGCATGAGAGAGTCTGA